AAATGGTATTGGATTTTTCATTTCAAAAACCAATTGTTCATTGCTAGTATATAAAAAAGTAATTAACTTTTCTTTATTAACCTTATATCCTACAACCTTGGTATAATTGCTTATTAGTTCCTGGTGGTTTTTTTCCTTTTTTCCATTTTTTTAAATTAATTCTTGGTACTTTTTACATAGCTAATTATGTCATTGTGAACAAGGAGCCTTATTTCTTCCTTCCCAACCTGCATGCCTTTTATGTCCTTTTCTTGTCTTATTGCATTAGCTAGGTTTTCTAGTATAATGTTGATTGGGAGTGAAAGGGGGATATCTTTGATTTTTTTCTTTATCCTTGCAGGAAAGCATCTAGTTTATCACTATTAAGTATAATGTTTGCTGTAGGCTTTTTGTAGATGTTCTTTATCACATTGAGAAAGTTCCCATCTATTACTAGTTTGAGGGGATATTTCATTTTGCAACATGTTTGTTTTCAAAAGATTTTTGTCTCGTGCAACTTCATTTTCAGTGACACTTCTACAGAGTCACATCCATTCTTTTTGAACAACATGTAGCATATCTGCAACTGTGACTGGTTCACAAACCATATAGAGTCCCCATAATTCTGTATCTGTATAGGAAGTGTTTAAAGACTGGAAGCTATGGCAGAAGCTGCTGTGACAAGTGAACTAGGCCAACTTGCTACATAAATTCATTCCTCCTCCAAAAGAGCGATCCCGGTTGCCAATCAGTGTGTTTGCAACCATGAGACAGATTGTATCTGGATGTGCCCAACCAACAGCTTCAATAGCTATTGCAAGGTGTGCCCAAAGGCATCTTGTCATCTCTCACATGAATCTCACTTCCTGTGAATTTGCAGAGAGGCACAGCTGGCATTTCTCCTTTGTGTGTGTATAAAGAGTCACCAAAACGAAACTTTGCTAACTCAAGCAGTTCATCATAGGAAACACCTCCAGCAGCAGCAAGCACTATTCTTGGCCCCTTATAATGCGTAGCTATATAATCCACTAAATCCTTAACATTTATAGATTTGACATTTTCAGTTGGTTCCAAAATGGTCCAAGTGCAGTATTTTGATAAGCCGTGGCATGAAGATCATCAAAAACAACTTCTTGTAAGTTGGTTTTAACTTCTTGCATCTCTCTAAGGATTACTCCACGCTCAGGTTCAATCTCTGCTTCTCCTAATGTGTTGTTTTGTATTATATCAGCAAGAATTTCTACAGCTCTTGGCAAGTCTTAAGAGAATGCTTTGGCATAATATACAGTCTGCTCTCTGGAGATATACACATTGAGATGAGCACCCATATTTTCAATCTCAAGTTCCAGATCCAACTGGGATCTCTTTTTGGTGCTCTTGAAAGCCACATGCTCTAGAAAGTGAGCTGTTCCATTATTCTTCTCATTTTCATGTTGACTTCCAGCATCAATCCAGAGTTCAACTGTGCATGTTGAGAGCTCAGAGTCTTCAGAAGCCACTCTGAGTCCATTTTCCAAACGTATAACTCATGTTTCAGAAACATTCAGAACAACTTGTGTAGCAGCCTGCGTACTTCTTAATTTGTCCCCTCCAAAATATAATGACTGCCCGGCAGCACCTCTGATAAGGAGCCTCTTGGTGAAACCCCAGAGCTGCTGGTGTGCCAACAACACTGCTCGAGCTGCAGATGCCACCATCTCTGCTTGCCTTTGGTTTTTAGTATTAGGTCATTAAATATGAAATGTCTGATTTCAAATCAAAAGTTTAGTTTATTATATCTCAAACAAGAAGCAGTGCAATCAATCAAAGTAGACGCCTACACTATCAATACAGTTTTGCCATCTTAATGGTAGCTTGTTTATGCCAGCAGCGAAGCAGCCTGGACAGCAAGTGTTGATGAAATCATGAAAGGCGTTTTCCACAGCTTGTTGAGAATTGAGTATTTTTCCTTGCAAGAAGTGATCCAAAGCCTGGAAGAAGTGGTAGTCAGTTGGTGGAAGGTCTGAATGTGGTGGATGACAGAGAGTTTCCAAGTCTCGCCTCTGTAGTTTGAGCAGTGTTGTTCATGCAACATGTGATTGAGCCTTGTCTTGCAAGAGGATTGGCCTGTCTCTATTGAGCAATCTTGGTTGCTTAATCGCAAGCATCCTCATCATTTTGTCCAATTGGTTGCAATAGACATCCACTGTAATTGACTGACCAGCTTTCATGAAGCTGTAGTGGATAATACCAGCACTGGATCAACAAACAGATATCATTAGCTTTTTTTGATGAATATTTTGTTTTGGACTGTGTTTCAGCTCTTCATCTTCATCCAACCATTGTGTCGAACACTTGCAATTGTCAAAAAGAATCCATTTTTCTTTTTCTTTCTTTCTTATTTTTGCCACAACCCCCACCAACCTTCCAGAATCCATTTTTCATCACATGTAACAATACAGTGTAGAAATGGTTCACCTTTATGTCAGGACAGCAAAGAAAGCAAGCTTCAAGATGATTTCTCTTCTGACACTTGTTTAATCCATGTGGAATTCATCTATCCAGCTTCTTTACCTTGCCAATTTGTTTCAAATGGTCCAATATTGTTGGAATAGTAACGTCAAACCTTGCTGCTAATTCACGCATAAGTTGAGATGGATTGACTCCCACTACTGCTTTCATCTTTTCATTATCCACCTTGGTCTCAGTTCACCCAAGTGGCTCCACACAGTCCAAAACAAAATATTCATCAAAAAAAGCTAATGATATCTGTTTGTTGGTCCAGTGCTGGTATTATCCACTACAGCTTCATGAAAGCTGGTCAGTCAATTACAGTGGATGTCTATTTTCAAAATTATTATAAAATCACCAGAATGGAACTTCTCAAACCATTGATGTATTGTGTGTTCATTAGCTAAATCCTTCCCGAACACTTTTTTGATGTTTCCAGCTGTCCGTGCAGAATTGTTTCCACGATGGAACTCAAATTTGAAAATAACACGAATTTTTGACTTACCCATGGTTTCACAAAAGTTGCCCTAAAAAAAAATTTGAAAGATAATCACAAGCCAAACCACGTGTTTGAAAGACTAGGGATGTGCCTTTCCAATAAAAATAAAACAAGAAGTGTCAAAGTGAAATGTCAGAGATATCAACTGTCCAACTTAAGGAAATCAGACATTTCATACTCAATAACCTAGTTTTACTACGATGTATTTTGATTTTTTATGATGTTTTTCATTTATCCTATTTGGGGTTCATATGGTTCTTGAATCTGTGCTTCATACCATTCATAAATCTTAGGAAATTCTCAGCTATTTTCTCTTCAAATATTGTGTCTACCCCCATTACTTCTCATTTCTCCTGCAACCCCTAATTACAAATATTTTGGATCTATATTCTCTTACACTTTTCCTGCATAGTCCATCCTTTTTGTCCCCTTCTGCTTCTTTCCAGATATTTTCTTAACTATTTAGTCCACTATTTTTTTTCCTTCAGCTTTGTCTCATCTACTGCTATACACATCCACTACATTTCAGTTGTTTTTGAAGTGTAGAATTCCCATTTGATTTTTTTCATTATCCCCCATTTTTTGTTAAAATTCCTAATCAAATCTATTTGCACACTTATTATATACACAGTTATATACACAGTTATTTTAAAATCTGTATATGGTAACTGTAATTCTGGATTCCCCTTGGATGTGTTTGTATTATCTGTTGCTTTTGTTGGTTTTTTTCTTCATGTCGTTTTTCTTCTCATATGCCTAGCTTTTAAAATTTTTTTCTTTTAACTTATTATT